GTTGCCTCCTACCTGTCTTCAATTAAGGACACTAGTATGTCCTTTAACATGACGGATGAGAGCACTAGATGTTAGCTCATGTGTCAAGCTGTTATTACAACAAAGAATAACAGATTTTTTCTTACGCAGGCAAAAAGATCAATCTATCTTTAAAACTTTGAATCAAAGTTGAAGTCAGATTTTCATTACATCGGGGGCGCCTCAGTGGCTCACCTGGTAGAGCACGTACCATTTAGGCTTAGTCCTTATTGCAGCCTGAGTTCAATTTGACCTGTGGCCCTTTGCTGCATGTCATCCCCTCTCTCTCTCTCTCTCTCCCAACTTCCTTGTCTCTCTCTCACTGCAGCTAAAATAAAGGCATAAAAAAGCCAGAAATAATAACTTAAAAAAAAGATTTTCATTACATCAAGCCCCAATTTCAATATAACTAATCTTTCAAAAAACACCATATCACCTTAATCACACAACCTTAACAAATTATATATTGTTTCAAAGACCTTAGTCTCATTGCAAAGGTTTTTCAGCATCCTCATATCACTGCAACAGCTGTTACACACAGTTGTTTCAGACTTGGCTCCAAAATGTTTTCCACACAACAGTTACTCCTATAAGTCCTATTTTCCCTTTTTAATGCAAATAAATAAAGAAATAAAAGGTGTGTCAACAACCTTAACAAATTATATATTGTTTCAAAGACCTTAGTCTCATTGCAAAGGTTTTTCAGCATCCTCATATCACTGCAACAGCTGTTACACACAGTTGTTTCAGACTTGGCTCCAAAATGTTTTCCACACAACAGTTACTCCTATAAGTCCTATTTTCCCTTTTTAATGCAAATAAATAAAGAAATAAAAGGTGTGTCAAAAAAAAAAACTTACTCTCAGAGTCTGTCTTTCCCAGATGGAATTGATATTAGGTATCCACACACGAGGGATTCACAGGAAACAATGCTACTGGATGCACTGTGGGCGTGCTGTACACACATACACAAGTTTCTTGTTTTGTTGCATTTCTGCTTCCAGTGGTGATTTCAGATGAAATTCTGGGATGTGTATTATTAAAACAAATCATTTACCAACAAAAACCACAGGTGTCACGAAACCAACCAGGGCTCATATCTTTAAATCTTTTCAACATTAAACAACACAAAGGCAACTAAAACAAAGTCTTAAACAAACATCTACAGTATTTCCAGCACCGAGTGTCACAAACAGTCACTTTAAACATCCACTTTTCCTAAATTATAAATTTACTGTCAAAAATTTTTGGCTATTTACTGTGAAATTAAAACTGAGTTGCCTGAGGTTTAACTAAAAATGCTACATTGTCTTAAATCCTTCAGTGTAAGTTTATTTCTTGCTCTGTGTAGGAGCCCTTGATGGAGGAGTACAGCATTGCTGCGCAAGTGTGGAAACTGAGCTCTTGTGACATGTGTGAGCTGGCCAGAAACAGTGTGCTGATGAGCGGATTCTCTCATAAGGTATCGATCATCCATCCAGCACATTACACAATATCCAGTTTTACTGTTTACAGCTATACCACTCCTTCCTCAGTTTGTTGTTCTGCAGACAGTTTAATTTCATTCTTCTGGGTCAGGTCAAGAGCTACTGGCTTGGCCCAAACTACATAAAGGAGGGACAGGAAAGTAATGACATCAGACGCACCAACGTTCCCGACATCCGTGTGGCGTACCGGTACGAGACCATGTGTGAGGAGTTAAATCTAATCACGCAGGCCATCCGCACAGACGAGCTGGAGACCATCGAGGAGGAGGGCAGTCTGTGTATGGCAGCTGTGCAGGCAGAGAAGTGAACGTGCAGCACAACACAAACAAAATTCTCACAACATTCCCTGTTTTCACATCAGGATTTTGTACAGATCATATCACACCTGTGAAAAGAGAAAAGCTTCGTTATAAGACTGTGAAATTCGCTACCGTGGCAATATGAGAGAGGACCTACAATCTGTGTACCCAAGGTGTTTACTTCTTTTAGTTCCTTTGAGTCATTCTTCGTTTCGTGGTGTCGTGGTGACCTCACAATGTCTCTTGATCTATTTATTTTTAAATGATTATATTTTCATGGTATGCAAACACATTTTGTCAGAGTTTCTGTACAAAGTCTACATTTCCTTTAATAAGCCCTGAAGAATATTAACATTATTCTTTAATCCATTACCAAAACTTCTACACTGGATCCAACACTGACCGATAATAATAATAATAAGAAGAAGAAGACAATTGGGAAAACATTTTCAAAGTAAAAAGGCTCTTGACTACATACAGGGCTGTAGCTAACACTGAGAACACTGAGGTCATGTTTGTGCTATCTTTACGGGCAAACTGGAGGTTTTAGTTTTAGTTTACATTCTACAACTAAACACATGGTGACTCTTGTATGCTGATTCCAGTATTTATAATCTTCACATATACTAAAATAAAATGGTTACACACACAAACTGGTTCTTACATAGAGATTAGTTTCCACTAAACATTTACATAAACTTTCACGTCTAACTTTTGTCTAACTAACTGAGCTAACTGGGAAAGCTAACGTCAGCTTGCTAATATTCCACTCATTCTGAACTATATGACTTCTGGCACACACCTTTAAAGGACAGGCAGTTATAGATTGTTTAAAATATTGTTGGAACAGTCAAGTACAGATGTTTCCTGGAAACTGATTTACACAATGCTTAGTTAGCTGTGACATTTCGTAATTTTTACTTGTGCAGCGTGACTTACTGAATCACAAGTCTGAAAATCCAGAAGTTACTATGAATACAGGAACAACTAAGTAATGGATTGACAAGCCACCTCTGAGGAATTTCTTTGAAAGAGCTGCTCCATTAAAATAAAACTTGCAAATATAAATGAACAAGCAATTGAATAAATGGAGTGTGAACAATCCAAATAATAAAATAACTTATTTTGGGTATTGCTGGGAGTGGTGGGTGAGGCGGACTTCCACTGGTGACCTCAGTATTTCTACAGTCCTGGCTACATCCCTGACTACTTAACACATTATGAACTTTTGCAGCAAAATCTGGTTAACATGTCATGCAAAAACCTTTAAAGAATATTCATTGTCAAATTAGGCTAGTGTTTCTAGTCAAATTAGAAACACTACATGATTTTGTGTTTGGTACGGTTGGCAATTTCTACTGTAATCATCCACAGGACAATACCTCATGCTGTACAACTGGCAGACAGTGCCACATCCTCAGTACTCCCACAGCTGCTCCTTGTGATATTCTTGTTGTTGTTTTTTTTTTGTTTGTTTTTTTACAGTCTTTACATTGATTCAGTAGAGTTGCATGAAAGCACGTCAATATTTGTTTCTGGTGTGCAGTAATGATACTCCTTTGTAGCATTACGTTATTATACTAACTCTTATTTTGTGACATTGTTTCTACAGAACTGTAACTCTGATCTGATACCATCTGTTCTTTACACACAAGTATTTAAAGTATAAGCATTTTTGAATCATAGTCCAGTGAATGATGCATGATGATCCGTTCCGTTCCAAGGTCAACCAGTGCCAAATCCATGAATAATCTATTTTTTAGAGAACTGAAAGTGGACTAACTTGACAAACCGGTTACAATCTCCTGCCTTCAGTTTGGGTCCTGATGTTCTAGTAGGGCTATTTGTTGCTACTACATGTCTCCCCCTCCCCTGAGAATTATATGTGATGTTTGTGAAATATTATTTAATAACATGTTGTCTATTAAGAATAAATGTTGTTCACGTTGAAGTGCTTGCCTCCCTTCAGTTTGCATTATTCAGAAATTGAATAAATGTCATCTGAAACTGAAAACTGTCAGTTACAAAAGGTCAGTTTGAATGAGGTTCAGCAGTCGATCATTAGTAGCTGTTCTGTAGAAATATGTGTGAGTGAGAGTGATTATGAGAAGTGAGACAACGAATGCATTGTGTGGTGTTTCCATATTCAGCTCATTATTCTCTAATGTGGGTCAGTCAAAGTGAGCAGGAAGTTCAACAGGAAACTCAGACCAATCTTTTTTTTCAAAATTAATGAATTGAGGTCTGGCTGCAAAGAAAATTCACACACATTCTCACACAAACACTGTTTTGTTAACCTTATAATATGACTTTATATGTGTGTATGGGACTTAGTGTGTCTGGCAGTTGTAAGACAACGTAAGACAAGTTGATTAGTTGATTTAAAGGTAATGGATGACATACACATACATTTTCTTTGTTTCTTTTTCTTTATTAGCAAGACTGGGTATGCACATTTACATCATTTTAGGCTCAACTGTCATTATTTTTGCATGTTACTCACTAGACAATCAGAAATGATAAAACAAAACAAAAATAGTTCATGTTTGCTTTACTCAATACTGTACTGGTACTTTAACAAGACAATCCTAATTCAAGGTCCAATTACCAGCTCTTTCCAGAGCTTTCAACTGTGCACACACTTGTTAAATTGTGAATGATGAAAATATAACACTGCTGAGCTTGCATGTGAACAGACCGCTTAGCAAACACTATCTGCTAATGAAGATCATTGGATATGGCTGAAAGCTCCAGAAAAAGCTAGTACGTGTACCCTGAGCTGGTATTGTTTTACCGTTTCTAATGTCAAAATGAAGTTTAATTTTTATCGTTATTAGTGTAACAAGTAATGACACAACAGGCACCCACTTTTGCGTATGCAGGTTACGCAATAGCCTTATGTAAAAGGTTTATACAGTAATAAATTCTTGCAGTAATTACTACAGTAGGTCACTTTCATTGAGGTTTCTCTGTGTCATGGAAAAGTCTAGGCTTGCAACCTCATCATGGCTTTACATCTGTTTCCATATACGATACTACCTTTCTTTTGTCAGGTGGATAATGGAAGCATGGCTGCCAATCAAAACTGCACTCACAGTATCCGGCATGTAAATGTTTTATTGTTTAAAAACCTAATAACTGTGACCGCCCGGTTCGAGTCGACTCACCCCGCCCACCGTATCCTCACAGGCTGCAGAGAGAAACCAACCCACTTCACTCTTGCCTTCTCTCTGTCTGTGTTCAGCAGCTGGTGAAGTAGCAGTCAGCCTCATTCGGTTTCCGAAAGTGATTCAAAATGACAATGAAACTGGCTTATTGGGATATCCGCGGGGTAAGTTCCGCCGTCGTCATTGTTAATGAACTAAGTCGCTCCTGTTGTTTGCAACGTTGTGTCTGTGAACGGCTGCCTCTGCTGGATATCCACCGGAGCCCGGTACAACCGACCATCTCACGGACTTTCAAACTGTTTTTTCACACTGCTGTACCTCAAATTTTGCTGCATAATATTCGTGTGTTTATAAGTATATAATAAGTACTGCCTGAGCGTCGCTCGGCAAAACGTTACGTAACATCAACATAACCGGGGCGACCCCGCTTGCACGTGCTCCAGACGTTATGTTGTTGTAGACACAGAATCAAAGCGAACGTTAGAATCAAACATGCTATTCGTTAGCGCAGATGTTAGCCAACATGGCTGATTTTGACTCAACAATATCGGGTATTTCAGACAGTTTGCGCTTGTCTCTCTGGGTGAACAGTGTCACACACAGAATCACAATGCTGTTAAATTAAGTTTGGTGGCACACAGACTATTGTATTAAACTGAGTTGACATGACACCGGTGAATGAAACCGGTGCTCAAGAGCTGCTAAAATTATCGGAGCACCTCACTGTGCAATCACGCCCTATTCAGTTGTCGTTTAAGCGGTGAAAGGTCAAGTTGTTAATGGTTAACTACAAACTACAAGCTATATTATGTGACCAGGCAGCTACTTAAAAAGCATTGATTTCAATTACCAAAAAGAAAGGCCCTTAGAGGTCTTGAATGTCATTTGCGAAGGTCTTTGATGTTTTCCTAGCCTGCTGTAGGTAGTAATGTTACTTTTGTGTGTGTGTGTGTGTGTGTGTGTGTGTGTGTGTGTGTGGTCATGTTTAATGATAAATAAGTAATAATATTAGGGACTATTGTTCTATACAACTGGGAAAGAGTGTCAAAAATGTAATATAAATGTCAATAAATTAGTGCACTTGGTAAATAATTCTAGGCCATATCATCCCTACTAGTTTTCACTGATAGCTTTCATACTTTTTTTGGACGACATGATTGTGAAACAGGTTTAACAGATTTACATTTGTAAAAAAAAAAAAAAACACATCCATCCACTTTTTCAGGTGCAGGGTAACAATGAGAAACACAAACAAAGTGACAAAAGAACCTGCACACTGCTGTCTTGTTCCTAGTTTTTCAGCTCTGCATGGACTTGACAACATTTCAACCATATACCTTGTATTTGTCCTGTCCATGCAGTTAGAGATAGCAGTGTGAAGGTACTTTGTCAAGACAAAAAACCCTAATTGTCAAAATTACTCTTAAGTTGCAATGACAATTTTCTCATCTGGAAATATATAAATGGGAGAAAAGAGTCTATACATGTCATCTGCCCTTACCCATGTGTAATAGATGCATTGATATAAAAGCTTGAAAGCCACCAACCTCTCTTCCATCTGATTTGTGGACATTTACGCAGCTTGCCCAGCCTATCCGCCTGCTGCTGGAGTACACTGGCACCAAGTACGAGGACAAGTTTTATGTCTGTGGTGAAGGTAACTTACCTGTTCAACTAACAGATAATCAGCTGTTGTAATTATAATCAAACAAGTGGTGCAAGTGTCTATACAACATACCCTCTCATTCGTGTAACATGTTCTCTCACACAGCTCCAAACTATGACAAGAGCTGCTGGTTCGATGAAAAGCACAAACTTGGGATGGACTTTCCCAACGTGAGTGAGTTTTAACCTTTGACTGAGCGTTTTAACTTTAACTAATGTGAATATTGATTTATTTGCAAAGCAGGCAGGTTTAAACACCAATTAATCATGGTATTGTGATTAACTTTTTCACTATAGCTGCCCTATCTGGAGGATGGAGACAGGAAGATAGTGCAGAGCAATGCTATCATGAGATACATTGCTCGTAAGCACAATATGTGTAAGTATTGTTTGTTTATTGCACATATAAATATTTTGGTCAACACAATTTTTCATTGATTCACTGTCAACATTTTAAACTAAGATAGCCACAGTTTTTTCCAAATGGTTATTTTTGACAGTCATCTCTGCCTTCATTCCCTGAGTGTCTCCCTAAAATCTGACCTGATAACAGGCGGAGAGAGCGACGAAGAGAAGGTCCGTGTGGACATCTTGGAGAACCAGGCAATGGACTTCAGAAACGGCTTTGTGAGACTGTGCTACACTGACTTTGTGAGTACTATCTATATTAAAAGTTAAATGACACTGAATAATTCATTTTACGTCTTTAAATCTCCACTAATGCTTATATCACCTCTTTGACATCAGGACAAGATGAAGCCAGGGTACCTAGAGATGCTGCCAGGCATCCTGAAGCAGTTCTCTGTTTTCTTGGGAGACAGGAAGTGGTTTGCTGGTGACAAGGTATTTCACCTGTCTCAAAACTCAAATTTTCAAAGCTGCAGAAATACATATTTTGGGCTCCTTAGTTTGACATAATATAAGGTCTATTGTGTGAACTTATTAGCAGACAATAGCCTGCTTACACATCCAGCAGAAATCTTAGCATTAATCTTTTGATAAATGTAACTGTGTTATTAGCTTCGAGATGCCCCACTATGTTCACTAGATAATTCTCAGTGGGTTAGCTTTCACATTACATCTAACCATTTGACCATTCATATAAAACTGCCAATTAGTGCAGTGCAAAGTCTAGTTTAAGCCTTTATCTTGCTTTTTTTTTTACAACAGATCGCTTTTGTGGACTTCTTTATGTACGAGCTGTTGGATCAACACAGGATGTTTCATCCTACATGCCTGGATGACTTCAAGAATCTCAAAGATCTTTTAGACCGTTTTGAGGTGAGAACATCAACTGTTTGTCAGATACAAACAGCACGTCCTGCAGGAGTTTTTCTTCCTCTGTGTTGTTGCGATAGTCTCAGCATGTCTGTTGGTAAACTGTATGCGTGGAATGGCCTCAGTGCTAGCCTTGCCGTGTTCATAGTGACATGCGTCTCAAACTGTTTTTTTTTTTTTAAAATGACTTATCATAATATCATGTCATCATAGGCTCTGGAGAAGATCGCTGCATACATGAAGTCAGCCAAATTCATGAAGACTCCTGTCAACAACAAGATGGCCAAATGGGGAAACAAGAAAGAGTAAAGAACACACCATTAATGAAAATAACAATGTGCAACTGACTCAACAACCATAAATTCAGGCCTAGAGAAAAATTAAGTCTGTACTATTTGTCTTTTTATAAGCTGTTAGCTATTTGGATGTATTGGTTTCATGACCTATAATTCCAGATATTTACATGAATCAGAGTTTTTGTACTGATAATGAGACAAGTAGAAACTTTAATTTGACTTCAAGCACTTAATTTCTGTTACATTTGAAATTGTTTTTTTTTTTCACAGATTAAAGTAAATCTTGTATTGACTGTTTGTTTCAGTTTGAATTTTAAACATCTTTTCCTGTACAATAAACTACATCTTAAGAAACATTAATTAAAAGAAAATACAATATAAGTTAATGCAGCTCAGGGGAATGTAAGATATGGATAGAATGTGGATATATATATTAAAAACAACGCAGTTAATAGTTATCAAGAGGAGAGATGTTAGATGGAACTTTAACCATACATTTTATTTTATCATTGGGAAAACTATACAGAACTTACAATGTAATTCTACTAATTTCTAGTAAGTAAAATAAATTACAGTTAATTATTAATTATTTCTGGTCATGCATGTTATAACACAAGTTTCTTTCACTAAAAGTACTTTGACTTGAATGACAAATCAGTATTTGATGCAGTTGCATTCATGCTGGAAGTAGCCATCCACACAAGATGATTCATGACACAAAAGGACAAAATTCGATCCCATTAATTCCAGATGTTGATCGTGGGTGAAAATTGACGAGAAGAGAAACCGAAGGTGCAGTGAAGTAGGTCGTTAGTAGCGGCTGTTGTACAGGCCTGATGGTTCACTGGCGAGCTGTAGGTAACAGGACAAAACATCACTGATGTGTTGCAGTTGGGTGTGTGTGTGTGTGTGTGTGTGTGCTAATATGTGACATGTTACTTACTGCAATGGCTGACTTAACGGCCTGAAGCTGGAAGAAGACCTTGCCTCCTTCCTCCGGACACACAGTCCTTATCTCATCCTTGCTCATCCCCAGGAGCAGTTTCCCAGTCAGCACCCCGAGACTGGTCACAGTGCTGTTCATGTAAAGGCATAAAACATAGAATATCACACTTCATCATGAAATACGAGCCTTATTTACGGTACACACATCTTAAAATGCGCCTCTGTGGATCGTGTCACTCACATTCTGGAGAAACCTTTGTACTGCAGCCAGGCTTTGACCTCAGCAGATGTGGAGGACATGTCGAGAGTCACTGGGCTGCGTGTCTCCCACTGCGTGTGAAGGGAGTAAAATGTCATTTGTGAATCTGTTACCTAGGTTACTCAGCAGACTTACTCGTCACTTGGCTCACCGGTAGATCTTCTGTGTGCCCAGCATTCTTCATCGGCTCCAAAACATTCTGAGGAACGTTTCCTTCCTCATCGCGGCCGTTACGAACAAGCCACCATTGCTTGGATTTCTGAATCACCTGTAAAAAAAAGAAAAAGAAAAAAAGAAACAGTCTGTGAACATCTGAAGTAGGAGAATGATGATGCAGATGGTAACGGCAGCTATAATTGTGACTGTGGTAAATATACGAACAGATAGGTCAAAATTTGAATAGAATCAAGGCTCTTTCCAGAATATTGTACGTCAGTCGGTACAGTATGTGAAGATTTAAGTAGCCCAGATGTGAGCTGCATCTGCTGCAGTTCCAGTATCTGATGGAAGTGTCTCACACGCAGCCTCTTTCAACTGCCAGATTTTTGTTCTTTTCAATTTTCCTGCCTGTGACTGAACTGCAGCTCTCTTACAAGCTTTTTTTTTTTTTTTTTTTAAATCTAAACGTACAGAACCAAAACAAAGCAAAAAAATGATAAAAGCATATAGAGATAGGGGGGGGGGGGGGGGTTCTCAGGGCGGAGGGTTCAGAGCTCATTAGCAACTGTCAGACAGCTGTAACAAAAATCCATATCACTTCAGTTTTTATTGCGGTTGGGCTTCCTCACTATATGTATATATATGTTTACTGGGCAGTAACGTAGTGGGAATCAATTCTCCATTGATACAACAGCTGATTGGACTAGCATGTCTCTCTGTGAAAAGCTCTCTTACCAAACTGAAATGTACATCAAAGGCAAAAACAAATTGGTCCCATAGCAGAAAGCACCATTATTAATGTTCAGTGTCTTTGGCCTTTATCATACAACATAGAAAGGCTGGAAAGATCTGCACCTGCTTGCGATGAGTGTGAGTACATCTGTAGTCTATCTTTCTTTCTTCTTAAGTGAAAAAGCCTCTCTTGGATTTTTGTGATAAAATTTCACTCCACTAGGAAAAAGCAAAAGTCAAGTTTTTTTTAACCATCCTATGACAGATGTCTTCAGTGGAGATGAGGCTCAAAAGCAAAATCCAACTCCAATGTTCACTAGGATATTACTATGACTTTTATTTATAACAAGCAATGTTTGCACCCTATTCGACAATAAAGAATAATACTTGTATTTCTGAGCAACAGGGTTATTGTACAACATCTCACCTGAACAACGTCACCCTTCATAATACTCAGCTCTTGGTTGTTTCTGGCCATGAAGTCGTAAATGACCCGCATGTACAGGGGAGGCTCGCTGAACCTGAAACAGCAGCAGACACACACTTTGTGACAGCGGTGCATATGACCAAAATAAAGCCCACAGAGAAGAAATGTTTGCTACAAATGTGATCATAAAGCCATATTTACTGCAGTGTAATAATACTTACTGTGGTGGTGGTGGACCCCACGGACTGTTGGTGACAGGCTGTAAAAGGCAAATAATACATACAGTGGTGATAATGGCTTCACTGGAGATGTTAGTCGTTTCATGTTGCTTTGAAGACTTGCATATTAAAGGTTCTGATTGCCAGATGGTAGCAGTGATTATAGTTATGATAGCCACCTGGCAATCCTTTTCAATGTTGGTGATTATATCATTTCAGCTACTCCCAGCTTCTCAAGCAGGGTGACAGTGTACTTCATCAAGTGCTCGACTGCTGGATAACAACTACTGAGGACCTGAAAGGGTTAATCACCAGCACTGTAATCTATCATATGGGAAAGTAATTCAGCAACAGCTGCATGTGTAGTTATGACAGTATACAATCCCTGCTAGAGCACCACAAGTACAAATACCAAACATAAACTGGAAATAAAACCAGAGTTCAAGTCAGGTTATCTGCAGGTCAAATCCTAACAAGCAATGAAATTGATTTCCTTAAAAAAGGCACTAAAATATATATTTTTCAAATGTAAGTAGTAAAACTGGTTCCAAGCATATTATCATCTCATAATGGCTAAGTGTCAGTTCTAGGCCATATCCTCCCCTCTGGTTTCCACCACACTGTCATACTTTAGACTGTATGATTGTTAAACAGGTATTAAATTACATTCTATGTGATATTAAACAGGTCTTCTTAATCTTAACTTTAACTCAGTGATCTCTGCAGAAACCCTGAAAGGTGAGTAATTGTATGAGAGCGGTTCTACCTCTTCAGGCTGCATCTGCATTGCTCTGGGTGAGTAGCTCCGGCTCTCATTTATTTGTCCGTTGGGTCGGCCGGGTGGGAAGCGCTGGCTGTTGCTCCTGCTCAGTGGTTCATTGTTCTGAGGGTGTGGGGAGGGCATGCGTGAGGGGGCAGGCGGCTGCCAGCCGTCGTAGAAGTCAGGGATGTAAGGTAAGACATCAGCATCCGGCCATCTAGACCTGTGAGGTGATTGGGGGGGGGGCAGGAAACTGTCAGCTGAAACAAAATGGAACTGTCTAATGCTGAGCTGACCTTATGTAGGAATAATTAGAATAAGTCGACTTCATGATGCATTTTCTGTATCAATCAATGTATCTCTTGATCTGTTAATGACACGTTTGGGCTAAAAAGATGGCAAATGTAAAGTTGGGTGCTGACATGCAGTTTTATGAATGTGTAGTTAGACATTTTGGGAAATATGCTTATTTGTTGCAAGAATCTTGCCAAGAATTACATTTAAAAAAATCCACTCATGTCTGTATGGTACATACGAAGCTACTGACTGCAGCTGGTTGGTTTACCTTAGCATAAAGACAGGAAACAGAGAGGGCCCAGCTAGCCTAGCTGTGTCCAAAGGTTCAAAATGAAGCTCACTAATTAACATGTTATATCGCATTTGTTTAAAAAACGAAGTGTAAAAATGGGAATATATGCCATATGTCCAAAGTCCCCTCCTGGAGTCTCAGCTGGTTGCCTAGCAGTGATTTCTTGATGGCAGGTGCATTCTCTTTTTTTTAACCTTTGGACTGAGGCAGGCCAGTGGTTTCATATTAAACAGACATGCATTTAAGTGATATGAATCTTCTCATCTTTCTCAGTGAATAAGTGTTTCTCCCAAAATGCCACAATGTTCCCTTAATAGCTTAATATAAACTTTTGGGTTGCCACAGCTAATGGTTCTCCTTTCTGTAATGCAGCTACAAATGTTGGTAGAACATTAACGCATGAATTTCCCACTTTCTGATAAGTCATTAAGTCTGCAGTTAGTAATATCAATAAGATGTTAATATATGGATTTTGGTCCAGCAGCTCTTTTCCACAAAGTGGGTGGTAAACGTTCCCTTGGAGTGGTCTCCCCGAAGAACTGTAGATATAAAAAGACACAGCTGGAGATGGATGAACACCAGCCAAAGGGATTATTCACAACCTGCCAACCTTAAAGTTGTTCTTCTAATGGTTTATAACTGATCATTAAACTATTAGTCAATCAATCCATCAAATTGTTGCCAAATTTTGAGTTCTCATGTAGAACATGACACTAAAACTGAAATTAACTATAGTTTTAAATTAAACACTCATATTTACCATTTTTCCGTAGACCATGAATGCAGCATTACCTCTGACCCATATTTACATATGGGAAAACAGCCTCACTAGGTTAGGGTGTGTCAGGCAGGTAGAGGTGCACGAACATCAGAATGTGGGAAGTTGCGCAAGTTGTGTGAGGATTGTAAAGGTCGCCGTACCTGGGGATGTTCCAGGGGTCTCCCAGAGACCTCCACAGCTGGTCCTCCTCCGGGCTGACGACCCGACTGAGCAGCCGCATGGCCGACTCTGTCAGCAGGGGAGAGAGCACAGTAGGGGGCAGGTCTTCAGGATACTGAGGCACTACCTGTAGAAAAATGGGGAAAGTATTTACTGTCACAGCTAAGAGAGTGCCACGTCATTGTGAAGAAAATAGAAATAACAGTGGCCTTGAACTGAGCCGGTGCAAAATGAACCAGGTTGAAGGAGCTCACCATGCCTAGACTAG